AGGAGCTGCTTGAATAAAACTCATTCAGTCATTTATCAGGAGAAACAAACATGTTGAGGCTCCAGCTGATCACTGGACAGAACCTGATGGGCTCTCACATGTTGATTTGAACTGATGGCCAAAAGAGTCACGCAATTTGAATAAATCTCCTCTGGTGAGAGTAAATTATAGCATCCTGGTCACCTTCTATGACATTAAATGGACCGAACCATTCATCAGGTAATTAGGATCAGATCACCAGATTAACCGCTGATTAACTGAACAGCAGCTTCACACTCGTGTTCTGAATATGTGACCGGATGTCAACCAATTTTAAATAAATACGGCTGGATGTAATTAAAATTATGAGAAAGAATAAAAAACTGTGACGACAGCGAAGCAAAACTTAAACAAGCAGCAATGAGTAATCTTAAAAGTATATCGTTTAATTAAACATTTCAAACGTGAGAACAAGCGGCGGTAAAGCAGACAACAGCGGTACACACTGACTAAAACCTTACTTCTCTGTTGTGTAGACTGTTTGGTTGGATCATGTCCACCTCCAGAGCTACTGAGCAGACAGGTAGCTGCTGCTCCACGTCGGACGGTTTAACCTTCGACACCACCTGTTCTCCTCCATGAGCTTTAACGTAACACAGCAGAACAGCCTCATGCCTCCTGTCCAGCCTCCACACTCTCTGTAGACTTCAGACTAACGGTTTAATGTTGTGCTTGTTGGTGCTGGAGCTGGTCTCAGTCCGTTCTATTTCAACCCAGAGCCGGCTCAGGAACTGAGACCGACAACACCACCAACCTGCTTCTTCTACGCTCATGTAGACGCCTACTGGCAGAAACATCTCGCTGCATTAAATCTAAAACCCTGCAGAGAAGCGATGCAGTCTGCGGAGGGGAAACATGTCATGAGCACCAGGATCATCGTATAAAACAGTCCATTAAGCTTAATGGTGATATCAGGCTGCAGCGACACGGGAACCGTTTATAGGATGGAATTAAAATCTGCTTTGAACAATCAGGGATCTAACCTGGAGTGTTATTACCAAGTGGTACGTAGCCTGGGTCACCGAGCAAAGCCAAATATGGACTTCTTGTTTGCGACTGAAGTAGCGGCTGAAGAGAGGAGCCAACCCACCCACCATCGATTCAGAGAAGTCAAGCAGCAGTCAATAGAAATGATAAATCTACTGTAAGGAGGTTAATAAGCTTGACCTTGCAGCTGCGAGAGTCCCAGGCTTTGACCGCTGAACTGTAGCCTCCACACAGGAACACCTCTGGGCTGCTGGGATGTAGAGCCACACACATCACCTTAAACTGGTTGTCCAGTTTCACCGCCTGCTGCCCTGCACACAGGAAACACAGAGAAAACCATGAACGCTTACATCCTCCGTCAGCACCAGGCTGGGATCACACAAGTTCAACTCACTGGATTATATGATAAATATAATAAAAATAAATTATATGACAAAACTAAGATTGTTGTGGAAATAAGAACATCATAAAAACGGTCCTTTTTCTGACATGCTTCTGTATTTATATTATTTTTAATTAATAGGAACCCAACATAAGCTATTTTTCACGTGAAAACATCTGATATCTGCCGGGTCCACCTTCACAAACGTGAAGATCTGATGTTTTATTGTTTTTATATGAAAGTATGATGAATCTCTTTCAGGCGTTTGGACTGTTAGTCGGAGAAATCAAGATCTAAATAAGTCACCTTCAACATCAACATCTCAGATATGATGAATAATTGAAAAATACAAGATGGCAAAACAAATAGACAAATACATAAATAACACGGGGAAAAAGGAGTTTCCTTCAAAGTATGCTGTCCATATATTGTGTAAAAAGGAAGAAGCCCAGAATAGTTTGATAATTGTTGTTCGCTTTAATACCATCCGGGGCTCAAGTGTGGACAATAAAAGCATTTCTGTCATCATCTCTGTGGTCAGTTCCTCCATCATGATGACTTCAGGCTTCAGTGTGGAGACGTGAGTGAGACGCTGCTGTGATTTTGTGATTTGTCTTCATAAAGAACCAGTTCTGGGTTTAATATCAGACTGTGTGCACTTTGTATGCGTTGCCTCCTGAGCTGTAAAGACCTCCATGTCTCCTCTGACCCCTGGCTGGTTTCTCTCCTCTCTGGAGGCCCAGAAGCAATCACCTTATTGCTATGTAACCTCTGCTCAGAGAGTTTAAGGCACAGCGCTGAAACAAACCCAGACGGCTTTAATCTGTGTTTTTCTACACATCTGAAAGGAATCAGAACCGGTTCAGGCTGTTAAATTAATGAATCAAAACAAGCTGTAGAAGCTGATGAGGTATTTAGTCGTTCCCAGCCATCAACACTAAACTAAACACGACATAAATTCCAACGACAGCGAGACGCAAATCCTCCTGAAACTTAAAGTCTTTGGTTTATTAATTGAGCGCAGAGCGAGGATCCGACGCTCCTCGTGAAGCAGCCGTTAGATTTCTGTGCAGTAAACACTGAGTGTAATTAAAACGTTTGCTGACAAACGGCGCGATTCGAAAACAAGCCGCCTAATAAAAGACAGTAAATGTAGTGATAAGCTGCTGCTGCCAAAGATAGAGCTCTGAAGTCCATGAAGGACGTGGAGGAAGTAAAAGGGTTTCTGTGATCATCTGGGTCAGTTTATCTACAAGCATCTGAACAGGATCATGGAGCGTTTCTTCTGATGACTGGATGATCACAGCGCTCTGCTTCTGACATGTGTTCATAACGGCGGGTGATGACCACAGCACTGTCAAACTCCAGACTGCTGGACATCATACACCAGCCTCTGAGAAGTTTTAAACTTCGCTCGAGACAAATAAAAAAAATAAAGAAAGATGCTGTGATGCAGAGAACCAGAGCATAAAACAATGTTTTGGCTAGAGGCTGCTTTATCTAAATCAATTTAAAAATGTCATACTTAAACATAAAACAAAAACACTGAGGGGCATAAATATAATTAAGCCTGACAGAGTGCGACCAAAAATTAGTTTCCTGGGAAAACAATGAAGCCAGACTACGAGGCAGCGCCTCTGTCAAAGGCTATGCAAAGTGGAACACCTCAGGGTAAAACGGCTGCTCATTAATTCACCGAGCAAACAACAAAGACCTCCGTCCACAACAGGCGTCTCCGTCCGTCAGCCCACAGCGCACTTCATTACACACTCGGTCCAGGATACTCCTACCGAGTCCGTTAAGAAAAGCAGAATGAGTCACAGCTAATAAACTGCACCAAACGTGGACCGTCTCTTAATGGGGACTAGTTCCCTCCCAGACCTGATTGCATTGATTTGATCCAAAGTTTTAACAGGCAATTTCGTCAGGCTCACACTTCCTGCCTAATTGGCTTACCCGCAGCGATACGGCGCAGATCTGTCATCGAGATTTAAAACTCATGTTTGGCAAGACAATGAGAAATCAACATTCTCCTGATAATAAATAGGGCCTCGTCATGTTTTAATTAGGCAAGATTAATTAGCTTGCTCGAGAGGGGCAATAAGGGAGGACTGCGGTGATCTGTCCCTCCCCGATGATGGTTCACTCTGCAGTGGAGAAGGAATCCTGCTGCAGCGCCGAGGACGATGGGGATGATTGGGGCAGCAGGGACGAGGCCCTCAGAGCGAAGAGAGGCACGGATGAAACGGCCATTTGGCCTCATTAGGGGATCCACCGAGGCACGGTGCTGTCGCTGCACATAGGTCAGAACCACACGGCCCGGTTTGGACCGGCCGCATCCAGGGAAACGTTTAGAGATGAACTCAATGAGCAATAATTTAAATAGTTTGTTCTTCTAAATATAGTTCCTCAAGCAAGTCTTCAGTCTTGATAAATAAGAAGCTGAGAAATAAAATGTGTGATGCACGATATTAAAATGTCTGGCCGATACCGATATCCGATATCAAGATTTCTGATATCGCCGATAACCGGTATCACTGATATCAGTGATGTCGATATTCAGTTTTTGTTCACACTGAAAAATGAGTATCAGCAGCACTGTGAGGAAACTCTTCAAAAGAAGCCCAAACTAGACCACACAGTCTTCTTTATTACGTAACAACAGTAAAACATACTGAAACATATTTAACGTTAAAGGACCATTTAAGTAAAAACATCTGTGAAACAGCAGCGATATCAAACGTAGAGACGAAGGCGCTGATGTTAGAATATCAACGGCTAAATCTGTTCATCGAACCGATACCGATATATGGGAAAAAACACTGATATCGGCCGATACCGATGTGGTTGCCGATATATCGTGCATCTCTACTTATGTTACGGTCAGTTTCATATCAGAGGACGGCTTCAGGAGTCAGTTAATGATCATTGTGTTAAAGATTCATACCACAAAAGAAAGCGTTTAGCTTGACAAACATCTGTTCTCCACAGCCAGGTGGTTCAAAGCTTCAACGAGACAAGGTAAGTGGATCTGGGGTTGAATTCTTCCTCGTCTTTTTATTTTTGAGGTCAAGAATGAAGTAAGTGGACCTCGTAGCTCCAATAAATCTACGCCCATAAAAGATTTAAGGTCCTGCCGATGCTTCAGACCACACACACCACGCAGAGGCAGAACAGCTTCTGAAACCAAACCTAGCAGCATCTTCTGAGGAGCTTCTGAATTATACAGTCATCTGCACCTTTACTATTGAACCTGTGTGTAATCTGCACCCGTCCACCGACAGCTCAATTAAACGAGCACGTTAAAATCGGTGTGTCTGTAGTTTTGTTGATAACACAAGTCCTGCACATCCAGTAAATACACACTGGGGCTTTAAATCAGAACTCCTGGGGGGTGTAGGGAGGCAGGACAAATGAAAAGCAGAAATAAATTAACACTGCAAAACACTGCATGCTAGGCCTGTGGGAACACTTCAGCTGCGTTTGAACCTCACGATGACGGAAGCTCACAAACTCGTGCTACAAACCCAACAAGGTCTTTGCTGTCGTCGAGCATCACTGATGGAGTCAGAAATGTGACAATCAACACACAGCGATGTGCATTTCTGTCTTTGTGTTGTGAAGCAAGTGTCTGTTTTATTTTCTGTGTCAGCTGAGCAGGTTGCCTGTAAAACCAAGCTTCCAAAGTAGGTCAACATGCAGATACGTTTGCTGCCGGCGCCCGGAGTAGGTGCTGCTGTGTGTGTGTGTGTGTGTGTGTGTGCTGCATTCAGTGTGTCCTGGTGTGCGACGCTGAAGGCTCCTGTGATTATACAGCCACAGCGTAGCGCTTAACTTCCAGAACGCACAAATGAAGCGTCGAGGAGGTAAAATGAAAAACACTGAAGCTACAGAGAGAAAAATAAAAGTCTCAGAAGATGTTTTTCTGTTTGATATATAACTGCAGTTTATCTATTTATGTTCAGTTCTATTGATTTTATGTCAGTCTTAATGGATTTATTCATATATTTTTAAAACTGTATTGACATGTAAGACTCAATTCACTCGCTGGTTAGCACCGTTAGCACCGTTAGCACCGTTAGCACCTCACAGCTAGAAGGTCGCCGGTTGGCGTCCCGGTGAGGACACCCGGGATCTTCCTGCGTGGAGTCTCCATGTTCTCCCCGTGCAGCGTGGGTTCTCTCCGGGTTCTCCGGCTTCCTCCCACAGTCCAGAAACATGCTGAGGTTAATTGGTGGATGGATGGATGGATGGATGGATGGATGGATGGATGGATGGATGGATGGATGGATGGATGGATGGATGACTAGGATGTCTACTGTGCTTACAATAACCATCAACAACAATAAAAATTGTTTAAAACAAACAAACAAATAAACAAACAAACTCAACAGCAGTGGTCTTAAATATTAACTCAGACAAAAAATAGAAACGAGCGATTTAAATATCTAGACTGGCGGCAGTACCAGTGCTTTGAAAATAAAGGTTAATTGGCTTTCAGCAGTCTTGAACATCGACACTGAGGGAACCTAGTTGGCCAAAAAATAAGTTATGTTTTTAAAACCAGAATAAGAACCTTTTGGACGACTCCTGGACTCAAATCCCCAGTGTGACTAATTATTTCTGCACTAGCACTCCTGGCACATGCAGCTTTTTTTAGTTTCCATCTTACAACTGAACTAATGCTGAAGATTTAACCTACATTCACCAAGAACCAGCCGAAAAGGGCAGAACACAACCCACTCAGTGCTTGTGTTTATTACTGGTTTGTGGGCAGCGAGGACGATCTTTGATTTAAACTTTGCTCTGCTGCCTCTGGACAGACGGCTGAAGCTCTGCATGAACTGACACACCAGCCTGTGGCACAGTGTGGATATATGGGCATGATCTTCCTCCACCAACCTGCACTAATCCGTTTTCTAAGGATATTTGTGAAAGAGTTGGACAACAGCTGCCACTTGGTGCTAATGCCGTACAGATGAGATTGGTTTACCCACTCCGTGGCATCGCTGCCTTCCTCAACTGCATTCTCTTGCCTTCCTTCTCTTCATTTCTCCGTTTGCATTACGCCTCTTAACCTGCTCTCCTTCTCTCACTCTGCTGTTGCTGTTCAGCTGTGACAGCCGGCCCGTGGCCCGCTGGGAGAGGACAGAAGATTCTACAAATTAAATTGGACACAGGAACAACTGCATAGACGGGCTAGAAAAACGGGCCCACACAGCATTCATAATGCACAGGCGCCTCTACAACTCCATTCCTCTGTAAACAGGACAATTAGTGCAGCTACTCTGTGGTGGGACGAGGAGCCAGATGTCCTACCAGACTCTGGCTGATCATCTAAGAGCACCTCTGCAGACAGAGAGGACCCAGCTGCCTTCCTTGTTACAGTCAGAGAGGCTCTGCATTACTGTGGAGAGCATGAAGATCACATTCAGCCTGACTACAGTCTGACATGACAAACACTCAGAACACACATGCTGCATGGATGATGGGAGCTTCATTAACTTTTCACATATCAAAGTCATAACTGTGGCAGCACCTCGGCGTAACCCTGCTGTGAGGGTTATACTGTATGTCAGACACATGAATCATGTGAAAACAGTTCCTCCAGAGCGTGCCCCATGCTATGATGAAAGGTCCACACCATAATTATGTCTCTATTTGAATTATTACGAGGGAAATTATGCGGCGTAATCCCTATGTTCTCTAACTGCTGGAATATGATTGGTTTTGGAGTGTCACTGCCTTGGTCTCAGCTCTGCCACATCTAACGGAACCACAACTGTGCAGAAACTGGGCTGGAATTCCCAACTCCCATATTAATATGCAACTAAATTGAATTTTTTCATCTCACGCTGCTGTAGGAATGCGTCCTTATTGCTCGCTCATGCACATCCTCAGAAACAATACGACTTATTCAGTTTCACATATAAATAAGTAGTAATAATAGTCAAAATAATAAGAGCAATAAAATATAACTTGTCAGACTGCTGCAGGATGAAGAGGCGAGGTGAAGGACCAACATTCCTTCAAAGCCGTTGGTTTAAAGTGTGGAGCGAGGCGCCGGAAGAGCACAGCACCACGCAAGCGTTTGTTTGTTTATGGTGGGTGACGTCCCAGTATAAGGTCATGGTGGCTGCTCCTGCAGTGATGTATCCATTATTGATCTCCTTCCTGGAGCTGCCTGTGTGTTTAATGGGCTGGCCAGGCTATTATCCGTAGGCTCTATTGACAGTATTGACAGACGTGCTGAGAGGGGAAGTGCAAACGGCAGCAAGTCATCACAGCCGTGTGTTGACCCTGGAGGTGTAGATGCCACGGGGGCTTCAAAGCAACGTCTCCTGTATGTCGGCTCATTCTGCCGGGCCTCTCCGCGGTCTTTTCTGGCGTATATATTGACACTCGCTCGCTATTATGTGTTGACAGAACGGCCGGACTCGAGGAGATTACTCCTGGTGACAAACATTTCAGGTTTCAGCTGAGTGTTTATGCTGCGGTCTTTCTATGGCGGACCGTCTCTATGAGTCGCTCTCATCTGTTCTGCCTGTTGAACGTCCACGAGGCCAGAAAGCAAAGCAGATGATTGATGGTTTTTTGTGTGTTGTCACACCCAGCGAGCCGGGAGGTCTGGCTCAAGGTGGAGGTCGGACAGACATGACTCCAAATGAAGGACTGGAAAAAGTGAGAGTTGTTTGTAACTGTTCATGTGTACATCTGTCTATATGTGAGAGAAAAACACAGAGCTGCCCCATTTCAGGGACCGTCTCCACTGAAGTGGATGAGCTGCCTCCACAGAGTCCAACTGAGACCATCGACCTGGTCGGCACATATTCACTCTGCAGACATTTAGTAAAGAGCCAAGGTTTGGGCTCTTTAAACCAAAAAATACAGTAAAGTGATAAAAATAATAAGACATTTACATATTAAGAGAAAAAAATGGCCATTCACTATATACACAATTAAACACATTCATTACCGTAATGTCTGGACTAGAAGCGGCTACTTTGAACGCTGCGGCTTAAACAACGATGCGGCTAATTTATGGATTTGTACGAATTCATCTCGAGACCAAAGTGAGGCTGAGAGCGACGACGACAGAGAGACTGAGGAAGTGATGAAGTGATTCTGAGGCTGCTCAGCTCCTGAAGACACTGAAGAAGACGACTTTAGTGGTTTTAGTGCAGGAGGAAGATGAAGATAGCCATCAGTGACTTTTCCTGGTAGCTGCTGGAGTTTTATTTCCTTAACCAGCCGTGTTACAGGAAGTGTTCAGAAAAAAGCCTCTACGGTACGTATCTGTGGATGTTACCGCTACGCATTTAATTAAAGGTTAAAACATCTTTCTGTGTAAATATCTCATGTTCCAACGTGGACACCTGCAGCTTAGAGACACCTGCAGCCTGGATATGAACACACCTGGTTTCCTGTTTAAAGTCAGTGGGTGGAGCTTATATTGAGGTGCCTCCATAGTCTGGATATTACGGTACATACATTATGATTTAGTAACTGAAGGAAAATGATTAAATTCAATACACTCTGGCACGACGTGATGAGAATCCAAAGCACACGTTTTGACTCCATGTTGTGGGAGAGGGAGGCAGCATTTCATATCTGCACCAGGACGAGTCTCTGGAACTGTTGACCAGTTGTTCTGTGTTTGCTCTACAAATGCAGATTTCGAAGGCCGTCCCTGAAATGAGTCACGACTACAGAGAGAAAGCGAGAGACTGAGAGAGGGCCAGCTTTGCAATTCACACAGTGGGTTTATAACAGGTTTTGTGGCCCAAGCAATTTAAATTCACTCCACACATAAATTACTGCACTAACTTAAAATACCAGTTAGAGACACAGTCAAACTGTCGTCCCACAACAGCAGCAGCATGTCTGGAGAGAAACGCTTGAAACTGAATTTCAGTACCAGCAGATGTAAATCTGAGGAGGACGTACAGGTACAGCCGTTCTGGTCTAGTGTCCATGAGCACAGGTGAGACGAGTGGGACTGAGGTGTGAACGCGTACAAAGCTGTTGCTATGCTCAGCTGGTCTCACAGCGACACAACGTGAATGTAGTGGTTTGTTGTGTGACATTTTGCTCTGCAGCGCTATAAAAAGCCGCTACTCACCCGTCTCCACGTCGGTGATCACAGCCTTGTTGTCAAACGAGCCGGTGAGGAGGCGTCGCCCACAGGGGGTCCAGCAGGCGTCACGCACGGCTCCCGAATGGCAGGTGTAGACCCTGAGGCATCGGCCGCTCTCCGCTCCGTCCCACACCTGGAGACACGGGGCATCGCATCAGGCCAAGACCACAAACACACCGACACACACACTCACACAGACAAAGCCATCCCTGTACCGGCTGTGTGTGAGCTTCAGTCTGCTTCAGCCTCAGTCGCTCTGAATTCTCTGGACGAAACGTGAAGTTTGTGAGTCGAACCGGCAGGAACACAACATGACTGTAAAGTACATCATGCTAGTATGCTGTGCCTTTATTGAGACAGGACAGTGGGGAAGAGAATGGGGGGAAGACTTGCAGCACAGAGCCATGAGCGGGATTCGAACCCAGACCGCTGCATCAGGGACTAGAGCCCCTGTCCAGCTGCTGTACGGGCGGCCCGCTGTGCTAATCTCTATGGGCTGCTTTGACTCATCACATCACTGGTACAAGAGGAAAAACACATCCTCTGTGAAAGACAACCGGTGCTGTCGGCACGCAGCAGCACTGACCCTGCATCCCTGACATGATGCAACAACGTGCAGCACAAGAGAAAGAAGCAGCGGCAAAGATACGACACCGGATGGCCTGGACATGCAAGTCCACAAAGAAAGGACCTGAACGCTCTCCTCAGAACCTCAGATCAGATTCAGAGGCCACTGCTCGTCCAACCGGAAAGAATGTCAGAGTTAGAATTTTCTGCGGTGCTTCACAGACGGATCCAAAGTGTCCTCTGGCACCAAACACCTCACCTGTGTGAATACCAGATAGTAAATACAGTCCGTCTTGTGAGAGGACAGACTGATATAATCTCAGCCACTCTCCTAAATTCTTCTGAAACAAAATGAAGCTGCTGAGAAAAAAGGCAGCTGGAAAAACACCGGGTCTATCTGTGGGATTCAACAGCAACAACAACCTTTCTAATTAATTAATCAAACTAATTTCCTTTGAGTGCGCCCATAAATCAATTCCCAGCGGGTTGTAATGGCTTTAATGGTGTTGCAGAGGTTTTCCTGCTACCAGACAGCCAGAGGAGACGAGAGGCCAGCTGCTCTCTGTTCACCGTCACAGAGACGACATCGCTGGTTTGAAGCACATCGCGGTGTTGACGAAGGAGGCGTTCATCAGCCAGACCATTGGAGACGTGCTGATCAGCATTGTGACGTGTGTTTTCTTGTATTTCCTGCTGATGACGGTATGATTCTCTGTCAGACACGCCAACAGACAAAAGCTTCTCCCCAAAGCCCAGCTTGAAGTCCGATGGGTGGTCCGGTCCGGTGCCCACGGGCCTGAGGTATTACACTAATGATGAAGTGTCTTTGCTTCTCCGGCGCTGCCTGGGCCACAGAGGAACGCTGAAGATCTATGGGGCGCTGCAGATCCCTCCCTCTGTGTTCCATTATTAAATGTGCAGCACATAGAGCAGTACAGTAGCTCCACTGGAGAGAGGGCAGGAGAGCAGCCACATGCCAGTCCAACAGGTGGCAAACACAACACCAGAGATGCCCCCAGGGTGGGAAAAGGAAAAGGAACAGGAAGACTTTTAATTGCATAAAACACATATTAGAACTATTTCTGTTTCACAGTGTGTGGCTCAGGGAAACACTGCCATCTCAAGGCAGCACAGAAATCTGTTCAAACAAAGCAGCTGATGATATCACCTCAGCAACATCCAGCTGAACAGACTTTAACAAGTCTGACACAGCACCGCGTCGCACAGGCCCGGCTCCTCCACGGCGCCGTAGCAGAACCCGTTCAGTCGCACTAATCCAGCACAAAGCGCGACTCGTGCATCAGCCAAAACGAGAGCTTGTTTATTTGCATCCCCTTTAATTTCACCGGCCACTTAACAGACACGCCGAGCGGATCCTTGCAAATGACTCATTGGGGTAATCTGCTTCCTAAATGACTCTTGGTAATTAAAACTAAATTGGTATTCGTGTTATCAACTTAAAACTGCTGCTTTACACCTGCCGTAGCCATGGCGACGGCAGCTGCAACACAGGCTGGAATAATAATAGTGTGACAGACAGACAGGCAGGATGGAGGAAGCCTGAAGGGCGTCGGTGAGGAAACAAAGAGGAGGAGTGTTGGGACTCCTCTGATTGTGTCGCCCTCTCCGTCTTGGGCTGAGCAGAACAGGAAACAATAGCTGCAGCCACGGCGCTGGAAGCCGTGATGAATACGGCGACACGGCGTGTCGATAAGTAAGCAATAACGTATGACAAGCCGCCATAAGTCACCGAAATGAACAATGCAACGTAAGCAAAGCGGCATTTTCACATCTGAGACTGTAATTTCTTGAATGTGTTGTTGTTTGATTTACTGGTGAGGTTTAAAATCAGCTGTTTATTTAAAAAGAAAAAGTTTCTCTTTGAAAATAAAAAGCAGATGATTTTCTAGCTCCAGACATACAGGTTTAGGTGTTTGGTGGTTTCTTTTGTCCAAAATGAGTTCTTTGTTGGTCAGACCAAATGACACCCAAATAATTAAGAAAACTATTAAGGCTGCAACTTTCCAGCTGCTTGGTTAACCTGACAATTATGGTTTAGACTGATAATAAATCGTCTATAAAATGTGAAAAATAAAATAACACAGTTCTTTATAATGTTTGACAGTTTCAAAAAAGAAAAAAAAATATATTCAGAATCAAAGACATTCAGTTTGGTGTCATGTATGACAAAGAAAAGGAGCGATTCCTCCTGAGTGAGAGGCTGAATGTAGTGAATGTTTAATTTAAAAAATCATTAATCAGTTAGCAGAACAGATGCTGGTTCATTATCTGCTCATGGACCAATCAGTTTATCAGGTCAGATAAATAAATCGTTAGCTTACTTACTAGTGACAATTAACTAGTAAGACTTTGGGAAGTTCACCTGTTGTTGCTATGGTTACAATT